ATTTAGGAGCCAAATTAAATTTTTTGTAGACACACTACAGAATTGCTCGATAAAGATAGTAGTCCAAAAGTAGAATAGTTGACATTTGATGCTGATGTTGCCATATCACTGTGTCACTCTGTTTTGAAAGAATATTTCTTCCAGTTTGGAAAAAGAAAAGTCATATATTGTGTTGATCGTGATTTCAACATGTCACACACCTTGCAGACACATATTAAACATTTCAGATTGAGAATCAGAAAGTAGTTGTTTTTTTCTTTGTGCAAAGAACTTTACCAACATTAACGTCAAGAAACATGACTCCTTTAAGCTTCTCTGACAATTGATTTAACATTATAATTGGACCCTACTATGCAAAACAATGATTAAACATACTCTCCTGTAAAATATTTGTGTTTTTAGAATAGAATGTACAGGTGCATCTCAATAAATTAGAATGTCGTGGAAAAGTTCATTTATTTCAGTAATTCAACTCAAATTGTGAAACTCGTGTATTAAATAAATTCAATGCACACTTGTAAAATATTTGTGTTTTTAGAATAGAATGTACAGGCGCATCTCAATAAATTAGAATGTCGTGGAAAAGTTCATTTATTTCAGTAATTCAACTCAAATTGTGAAACTTGTGTATTAAATAAATTCAATGCACACAGACTGAAGTAGTTTAAGTCTTTGGTTCTTTTAATTGTGATGATTGTGATGATTTTTTAACAAAAACCCACCAATTCACTATCTCAACAAATTAGAATATGGTGACATGCCAATCATGCCAATCAGTCAAAACACCTGCAAAGGTTTCCTGAGCCTTCAAAATGGTCTCTCAGTTTGGTTCACTAGGCTACACAATCATGGGGAAGACTGCTGATCTGACAGTTGTCCAGAAGACAATCATTGACACCCTTCAAAAGGAGGGTAAGCCACAAACATTCACTGCCAAAGAAGCTGGCTGTTCACAGAGTGCTATATCCAAGCATGTTAACAGAAAGTTGAGTGGAAGGAAAAAGTGTGGAAGAAAAAGATGCACAACCAACCGAGAAAACCGCAGCCTTATGAGGATTGTCAAGCAAAATCGATTCAAGAATCTGAGTGAACTTCACAAGGAATGGACTGAGGCTGGGGTCAAGGCATCAAGAGCCACCACACACAGACGTGTCAAGGAATTTGACTACAGTTGTCGTATTCCTCTTGTTAAGCCACTCCTGAACCACAGACAACATCAGAGGCGTCTTACCTGGGCTAAGGAGAAGAACTGGACTGTTGCCCAGTGGTCAAAAGTCCTCTTTTCAGATGAGAGCAAGTTTTGTATTTCATTTGGAAACCAAGGTCCTAGAGTCTGGAGGAAGGGTGGAGAAGCTCATAGCCCAAGTTGCTTGAAGTCCAGTGTTAAGTTTCCACAGTCTGTGATGATTTGGGGTGCAATGCCATCTGCTGGTGCTGGTCCATTGTGTTTTTTGAAAACCAACATCACTGCACCCGTTTACCAAGAAATTTTGGAGCACTTCATGCTTCCTTCTGCTGACCAGCTTTTTGAAGATGCTGATTTCATTTTCCAGCAGGATTTGGCACCTGCCCACACTGCCAAAAGCACCAAAAGTTGGTTAAATGACCATGGTGTTGGTGTGCTTGACTGGCCAGCAAACTCACCAGACCTGAACCCCATAGAGAATCTATGGGCTATTGTCAAGAGGAAAATGAGAAACAAGAGACCAAAAAAATGCAGATGAGCTGAAGGCCACTGTCAAAGAAACCTGGGCTTCCATACCACCTCAGCAGTGCCACAAACTGATCACCTCCATGCCACACCGAATTGAGGCAGTAATTAAAGCAAAAGGAGCCCCTACCAAGTATTGAGTACATGTACAGTAAATGAACATACTTTCCAGAAGGCCAACAATTCACTAAAAATGTTTTTTTATTGGTCTTATGAAGTATTCTAATTTGTTGAGATAGTGAATTGGTGGGTTTTTGTTAAATGTGAGCCAAAATCATCACAATTAAAAGAACCAAAGACTTAAACTACTTCAATCTGTGTGCATTGAATTTATTTAATAAACGAGTTTCACAATTTGAGTTGAATTACTGAAATAAATGAACTTTTCCACGACATTCTAATTTATTGAGATGCACCTGTATATATATATATATATATATATACATACACATTTAATTAGAACTAACAGTTCCCAGACCATAGGACATAAGAGAAAAATTATTTACGGTTCAGCTGGAGTCAGTTGCAATTTTAATAACACCTCTTAACAGTTCACTAACTGAATGAGTCTGATTCAAACCACTAACTTAAGTTTGAGGATGTTTGATGAATCTTTTTATTATCTTTTTACATCTAATTTCATTCCTGTGATGGCAACCTGAAATTTCAGCCCATGTTACTCCTGTCTTCAGTTTCACATGATCCTTCAGAAATCATTCTAATAGGGTCATTTGGAGCTCAAGAAACATTTATTATCATCAATCTTGAAAACAGTTGTACATTGACTCTTTAATTTAAAATAGTAATTTAATTTGGTTTTACATGTTTAGATCACCATCACTCGTGCTTTATGATTTGAATGATCATTTTGTTTCATTACACTCTGAAGTAGACCTTAGGGTACAATAGGGATGTAAACACCGGAGATGAACAATTTAGTGTGTGGTCAGAGAACAAAAAAATAATTGAGATTCCAGACAGGTAAGATCGGAATGTTTGCTCATTCTGCTGACATGACTGAGGTATGAGGCACCTTTTCAATTTAACACGATCTAAGATCTGTCCTGTTAAGAGGCTGCCTTTTCATTTTGTCACAAATTCACTTATCTCTACCGAATGGTTATATCTGGCTTAAAATGGCTCTAAAGGGCATAATTTGTACAGTAAATCTTCATATTCTTGCAGTGAAATGTGTCCATTCACATAATTTCTGTTTCTGAAAGGTATGCCCCCTTCCTCAAAAAAAAAAAAAAAAAATCAGGTCATGATGACAACAATTTCTCATAATTCAAGTGAGCTTCACCCCTTTTTTCCCTGAATATACAAGGCCAAGTGAAGAGCAGAGGTGGGAGTATTACATATCTTATCAGCTTATACTAAACAGACCTCTCTTGAATAGCTCACATTCTCAAGCATCCATCACCTAAGCAACTACAAACTGGTTTTAAAAACTAATACTCTGTGGGTGAGTATAACAGTCCCATTCACCTGTTTAAACTGTAAACACCAGGTTAATAGGAGCAAAAGCTCCCCTCTCCTCCACCTCTGTCCTTCTGCGATGTGTCAGACGAGTCTTCCTGTGACGATATAAAATTACAGTGAGTCATTTTAGAAAGGACGACTTAAAACCTTCCAAACTGCTTCTTGAGTTTCTGCTTCTCAGGTGAAAAGTCACTCAATAGACCTTAAGCCTCAGCAGGTACTTATCTAACAAACATCTGGTTTGACAGGTTAAATTCTTTGGGTATGAGCGCATGGATGAGCCAGAGGGGAGAACATGGTCAGGTGTCAGACAGACATTTGAAAATTCTCCGGGCATTTCATTTTCGCAATTAAAAACAAATGTGGAAGAGTTTAAATATGTTGTAGGAACCAAACAGGGCTGTCCAAAACACCAACCCTTTCCAAATACCTTATGGGTCAGCTGAGTCACTGATACCTATGTGAAAGAGAGACACATGTAAACTCAATTTCTCCGCTATATTCCAGGAAATTGTTGGGTCTAGACCAAATGCAGAGTAGATCAAAGTACTGACCGTTGCAATGAGCAACCAGGATGATCATCTCCCTCCACATTCCTGCATTCTTCTGCTTTCCATCATCATCCGAGCTGGAGAGAGGCCCGCGGAGAGGGTGTGCAGAGCAGAGACTGGACACACAACAAGGGAAACACTAGAAAAAGAAGCTTTATTAAGACCAGTGGCTCAAATACACTAAAAGGAAAAAGATGGGGGGGGGGAAATTAAGGGGGAAATCTAGTGAGCAAATGTTTTGTCCACAGATGGGCATATGTTAACAGTTTCTCTATTAATGTTAATGTAGAACTTGTTAGCAGTACACTGAAATGCTTATGCATTTTAAGTTTTCTTGTTTCTAATATTTTCTAAACATTTTCTAATCATATGAGGAAATGTACTAATTATAGCAGCTCTGGTATTAAATCATTCACTGAGAGAAAAGGCAGAAACTTTAAAGCAACCACGAGGCCAGGACCCACTAGGGGGCCTCAGCAAACTTCCAATGGGACCACAGGATGACTTTAATTCTGTCATCAAGCTGTTCCAAACCTGTATGAATTTCTTTCTTCTGCTGAACACAAAAGATAGTTTGAAGAATGCAGGAAATCAAACAGTTGATAGTCCCATTTTCCCATCCCACTTCCGGAGGAGACCGGGGCTAGTTGTCACAGAAAGATGCTGTCACAAGGTAACATTTTATATTTTCCTGTTTGTTTTGTATTTCTGAATTATTTTACTATATTTAAAGTATACTAAATGCTGTTAAAAGGCAGGTTCCATTGTGAAAACTTGACCTCATATAGTAGGACAACATACCCCAAAACTGAATCATGTTGCTGCAAAAGGTCAACATGTGTTCAATATTTTTATTCCTAAACAAGACTGTTATAGAAATTGACTTTCAAAAATCTACTCTGTGCGACAACTATAATATATATGTATATGTAAATGTATAAGTATAAACCTAAAAAGTGCGACAACTAGCCCCATTGTCCCCTAAAATATAAAGTTTTCACAGCAACCCCTGTCGAGTGGAAATTTTGCTAAAATTTCTGTTAATAGTCATGATGTCATTTTTATATCGTTATTAATATCTTTTACCTCAATGAGGTCACTGAGTCATAAGGAATTCTTATATCCCACCCTGAGAGGTCAAAGGAACATTAGGCTTACATGTGATACTACGCTCGACCACGCCTTCAAGCGGCGTTCCGCCTGACGTCAGTGTTATTGAAAGCCACTGGCCCCGCCCACCGCCTGGACAAATCAGTCCGTGCCTGAGAAACAGTACTGCCGATCGCGACTGTCAGTTCACTCATGCTGCGCACACGATCTCTGGCTGCTGACTCCTGTATCTAGGGGCACTCTCGTGCGATACTGCCCGTGGGACTATATATATATCGCAAACATGTCACGGCATCACAGGACGCCGCTGAAAAACGAGGAGAGTGTGGTGGAGGTGAAGAGCAAAGTAAGTGAATCCCATAAATATTGCATTAGGCTGCGTTTGACAGCGTGCATATGTAAACTGCTGTTTACGCAGCCCTCCACGGGAGCGTGGCCGTATTTGGAGGGTTTTCAATCCGGCGCATCAATGTTGGGGTTTGTGTACTAATCCATCCATAGAGAGAAACGCTGATGGTGCTGTATGTGTTAGACTACGAGGCGCGAGACGAGCGCGTTTGGCTGGGATCATTAAGACAGCAGGTCTCTGTCCGGTCCGTGTGATGTGAAATGTGGTTCTGGTGCAGTGTGAAGAAGGATCCTATCCTACCGATAAACAGACGTGCGCAATGAGGCGACTGGGCCCTGTTGATCAATTATGCATGTTACATACCAATAACGAAAAACCGAATCCCGCAGTCTAGGAAGAATCAGATCATAATGATGCATCTGAGGGGCATTAATAATAATATTAGCAGAGCTGTGTACTACATAAACTCGATAAGACGCTGGTGCAGTTTCTATACACAAGAAAAATTCGACTGTTTTTCTTCGATTACAACAAGTAAGCAGGTATTAATAAGCAATAACACGAGCAAAAGTGCATTTGTTTGGAATACAGCTGGCACGAGGCCACAGGTAATTATAACCTTGCTGATGTTCAGTGCTACCGAAGCATTGCCAGTGATGTTGCTCTATAAATATTTAAATATCTTATGTTTCAGACAAATATTGACCAGTTAGTGTATTTCATATCTGCGGGTGAAAATAGTTCCAAAAGAAGCCAAAGCATCAAGCTTTCAGTGTCACTATGCAACGCAACGCTAAAAACTGGACTGGATCAAGTATAATCAAAAGTATAAGGATTTAAAAAATATTTTAACTCACAACTTCTACCCAATAAAATAGTTTAAAGCTTGGCATTATTTATGGAATATATATACAATAATTATATTAATTTACATTATTTTCCAGGTTTGCTGAGGCCCCCTAGTTGCCTCTGGCCTCCTTAGATCCACTGTTGTATAATAGTACTCGACAATTGTCTAAATTAAAATGTCATTGTGATAAATCTGTTCATCTCAGGCCATACAGATGTGTAACAAAGGCCTCATTTATGGGAGGAAATAGTCTTTAGTATATTACATCTGATGATGCATAAATGAATATTAACAGGCAAACAGTTACAACTACTGATGTCTGTTTAAAATAGTTCATATATTTTATTACGTTTCTCATGGCCTCTATTATTACTAAAGGCACAGATTGTTGGTCTCTGATGTATTGGAGTAGTTTGTTGTCAATGTGCCCAGTATACTTATTGGAAAACCTCGACCACAATCTGCCAAACAGAGCAGGATATGTTTTATTATCCCTCCATTCTTGAGAAATGTTGGGTGTGCAGTGCATATGTGAGAGGAGAACAGTAAACAGAAGAGGGCTGTTTAGAAAGATTCAAGTGAAGTTCCATGCAGGCCTGGATGTAATTTAGTGTCATATATTATTATTTTTGCCTGAACTGGCTAATTCAATCACCTGAATCCTCCTGCTTGAGGTTTTGGTTTTCATAACAGGCAGTGCAATGTGTTTGGTGACACTCTTTTCTTCCTGAGAGGAAATTGGAAGGAAATGTTTTCTTTTCTACTTTTCTAGCTCTTGATGGGATCCTGTCGCAAATGAATGGCGTTTTCAGTGAGCATGTAGTTTGAGGTTTGTGTTGAACAATTCATACTGATGTCTTTTCTCTGACAGGCCATGTTTTCATTGGTATGACAGGTATGGCCTTTTTATCTGTATTGCTATGGTTACTGTGGTGGTCCCACATAACAGCACTTTTTTTTGCACAAAATAAGACTAATAATTTCAAAGGTGTTGATGCTTGTTTTGAAGGGGGAGGTGATGTAAATATTTTAAAGCGGGATGATAATGCATATATTCAAATATGTTGTGCAATGTGTGTGAAAAAAAAATGTATTGACTAAAAATGTTATTTTCATCTCTAAAATGACAGTCATTTTATTGACAGATTAACATTTTACTTCTGTAATGTGACCCATTCCTGAGTGAAACAGGATATTCAACAAGAGGGGAAAAAAAATGTAAGAAGGCCTGATTTTATCCATCAAGAATTAATTGGACTGTGAAAGCAGTCACATGACAGCTGAAAAGGAAAGATGCTTTAGAGGTGAAGCAAGTTATTTTAATAAGAGATAAAATACTAACTTATTAACTATGTTATAAGAATAACTTGCACGATTAATTGTTCACACTAAGACCAAGGATGTATACTAGGAGAGGACATGTAATTTAACTTTTCCTTTCTTAATTTTAACAAGATGAAAGTATAGGAGAGAAACAAACAGGATTACAGAATGAAAACACATTTTTAATCAAATGTGCCAACATTTCATCAAAATCAAAGTTACAGTCAAGTCAAGTCACCTTTATTTATATAGCGCTTTTAACAATACAGATTGTGTCAAAGCAACTGAACAGCATTAATTAGGAAAATAGTGTGTCAATAATGCAAAGTGACAATAGTAAACACTCATTTTTCAGTTAAAGGCAGTTCATCATTGAATTCAGTGATGTCAACAAGAACAGTCCCTGATTATCACATCTAAAAGATTTCTGTGCATTCCTGTATGGCCAAATTCATTCTTGTTATATCTACCACAGGAAAAAGCCTTTGATATTATTTTTGTGAATGGGCTCTAATAAAAACACTCGCCTGCTGAATGACTCCATATTCAAATGATTTACAATATGACCTTGTATATTTTCACTAGTATTCTCCATTTCCATATGTAAGGTATGCTCCATGGATACTGGAGAAAATCTTTGGCTCGGATGCAATTCCTCCTCATAAACTGAGCGATCTGACAGATTTTGTCCAATATGTTCAGCTGAGCTCTTGAGATGAATTCCCCATCCGCTCAGTGTGTGTGGTCTGGGGAAGCTCAGCTTTTTAATGCCACTGTTCTCATCTTTCCCTTTATCTGTAGCACTTGATTAGATTGACCCTCCCTTTGTTCCTCACTGCTCTTTTTTTTACCTTAATGGCTTCCTCCGAGCTGCAAGTGCACATCAAACAGCTCTGCAGCTGCAGGAGCAAGTGAAATTGGTACGAGGAACTGGCACTGCATGTGTCTACAGACTCTTCACGCAAAGACGCATCTGTGTGTAAAGTCACTGTCCAAGTTTCAGTTGGAAAAAAAAAGACATGGATTACATTTGCATATCTTACAGGGTCATAATCTGTCTATGTCATAATTGATCTACAAAGCTAAGTGCTGTGCATTAAGAGCCTGTAGTGTTACTGTTTATTGATATAATTTAACATGATTGTGGTTGTCCTGCAGTTTGAGGCGGAGTACCGCAGGTTTGCCCTGAAGAGGAAAGGAGCCGGTGGCTTCCAGGAATTCTACCAACTGCTGCAGACCATTCACCGGATCCCCGGAGTGGACGTGCTGCTGGGATATGCCGACATCCATGGAGATCTACTTCCAATCAACAATGATGACAACTTCCACAAAGCACTGTCCTCGGCCAATCCGCTGCTTCGGATTATCATTCAAAGGAGAGGTAACTCACTACACTGCATGTATATCACAACGAGGTCAAATGGTTGATATAGCTTTGAAGCTTAAAGGCAAAGTGTGTAAATTCTGCACTATCAAACAGAATTGAAATCGGTTTGTTTGGGCGATCATGACAAGAACCTACAGTATAGTTTGAGTTTGAGAAGGGGCTTCCTGTTTGTCCAACCAATGAACACCTGAATGTGAATGGGTTTGAGTCAGTAAGTTTTTTTTTTAAGTCAAGCAAGTCTCTTATGGTCACCAAAGTTGCATTTATTTGATCAAAAATACAGTAAAAATAGTAATTTATTACTGTGATGGCAAAGCTGTTGTCACATGATCCTTCAGAAATCATTATAATATGCTGATTTGGTACTCAAGAAACATTTCCTATTATTGTCAATATTGATTGTCAATATTGTGCTGCCTAATACATTGAAAATGTTACACATTTTTTCAAGGTTCTTTGATGATTAGAAAGTTCAACAGAACAAACAGAACAACATTTATTTTTTGACATTATAAATGTTTTTACAGTCACTTTTGATTAATTTAATGCATCTTTGCTGGTGCATTCATAGGAGTTTAAGTGTTTGAAACATTATTTTTGCAATTTGGAGCTTTAGCAGTGCAGAAACCACACACTTCACCTTTAACATTCATCTTAACAAAATCAAACCAGGATCTGGGGGAATATTTGGATGAAATATATGTATGTATTTTGATATTGCTAAATTGTTAAAATGCATTTTTTGCGCACGTGGAAAGGGGATATGTATGCAGCATAGCTGATACATGTGTGAGAGTTAGGCATTAAAATGATGCATCATCTTTTGCTGTCATATGTCGTTATCCATATTTGACTCCAGAGGGAATAAAAAGTCATTCCAGCAGTGTAATGTTATGCACAAGGATGAGGACCGTTATGGGCTGTGATGAGATGTTATGATGGGTGGGCGTTAGCGTTAGATGGTGCCAGTCGGGGCCCATCTCTGTTTCATGAGTGTAGTGGCACTGCGCCAGCCCCGAGGTGCTGAGTCTGATAGCGGTGCGGAGGAGTGATGAGCCCACACTCTCATCTCTCTCTCCCTCTCCCTCTCCCTCTTTGACGCTTTCTTGATGTCCTTTCTTGTCTGTATTCTCTTTCTGTCAACTTCACAACCCTCTCGCTCTCCCTTCCTGTTTCTTCATCACTCTTAATGCCTTGTCACACTCAATGAGTTTTATTAAATCTGAACCGCAGCACTGAGGAAATGTTTCGCTAATGCTATTAGGAATGTTTTTCTCGTTGTCAAATTGTTCTTTCTTTATTTCATTGTTCTGTTTGTTTCTTTCTAATCCACTGTGAAAGGAACTGAGCACCATTGTTCTGAGTTTTAAAAGACTCAAAAAGGGAACTATTTTATTTAGCCAAGGGATTAAATCAGATTAATCGCTTGTTAGCTATGTGAAAATTGTATTATTCGAACATCAAGTTTCAACTAGCTCCTACAGCTGTTGATGATAGTTAGGGCCAGATGGAATCTTTCGGAAAAGATTTTAAGGGAAATCTATGGAATTATTGGAATGTAAACATGGTAAAATGTGTTACATGGATGGAAAAGTACTAGACTCTTATTGATATCCTGTATCCTGCAGAACAGTGTTGTTATTTTTAACTAAAAAGAAACCATTAAAAATAATTTTTGATATTTGAAATTGAAATAAAACAGTATATAAATATTAGATGAAAAAAACCTAAAAATTAGAAACTTTAAAATATCTAAAATAATTAAAATTGTTATTTAAAATAATTCGAATAATTAAAATCGTTGCCTGGGCAAAAATAATACATTAAGTTGAAGTACTAAAACTTAAAAAAAAATAAACAAACAAACAAAAAAAGAAAAAAAAAACTTGACTGGAGCACATGACTAAGAAATGACTAAAACAAAAATTAAAATGAAAACAAAATACAAAAAAAAAAAAAAAGCTCAATCAAAATATGAATAATATTAATAAATACTATAAGAGTGTACTATATACTATAATAGTGTATAAATAATACAGCTGGTGCAGATCCGGTGTAGTTTATGTTTTTATGAAGTTATGATGGGAATGATCTATAAAGTGGCACTGCTCATTTTTGAGCTGTGGATGTTTGTCTGAGAGAATCTGGAGATGTTTTTGGCAGCCCATCATGTGTGAACCTTACACCTGAATGTAAATATAAAATCTATAGCATATTACTCATACATTTACAGTGTGCATGTACAGCTGTTGGGTGGATGCCAACATCACATGTAGAGAATGTAGTATAAGGGAACTTCAGGAACCAATGTCATTGACATAAATGACACAAAGTGGGTTCTTTTGGGACAGACTAATTGTTTCAGATGGGAGACTGTCATAGTGTGTGTGTGTATGTGTGAAGGGTTGCCTCTTAAGACATTAGGGAGAGATAAAATGTGGAAAGAAAGGATAAGGTGCTTACATACTGCAGTGGTTTCCACTACTTTGGCTTCTGCAACCTCTTATGGATGTGATTTGTGTGGAAAAGAGACAGCAATAATACTCCTGCATTATGTAATCATAATTTGCATAACAGATGGACCTCATTATGTGTTCATAGTAATTCTGTAATGAGAAACTCGATACTTATTTAGTTTTAAACCGACGTACCTTCATACACACACTTACATGATTAATCAAAATCTTAGTTGTTACTATTTATTGTTAATTGTCAATAATTATACTAATACAGCTTGCTTACTGATTACATGTATGGGGTTATGTATGCATGATGTAATTTCCTAACTAAAGGTGACATAACAGCCAACCAAATATTTGCAGCTTTTCATTGCAAGCATAGGGATTATTGCCTTAATGTGTGAAACCACATGCATCAACAATGAAAACAGCCACCTGCAGCCACCTACACCTTACTGTACTTACCTACACCTTACTGATTCCAAACATTTGAGTGGTAGCATATATAGAAAATAGATACTCAGTGGTGTTACCAAGATGGTCGCCAAGTGTAGTGATAGCCTTAAACTGGCACTGCCATTGAAGAGTAGATATATCTGTCTGAGCTAGTCATCACTCAGAGCCAGAAAGTCCATTATAGTGCTACAAGTCCATGCAACTAGATTTGACTCCCTGCCCTGGAAACTGCTCAGAAATATCAGTTTGCACCATGTACCAAAGTGGCCAACTATTCACCACTGTATCCTGTGTGACAGAGGACAGAAAAGGTTTTGAAAAGTTTGTCCATGTTAATTCATCCAAAAAAAAAA